GACAGATTGTAATAACATAATGAGCCTCCTGAGCATTAGCTGAATAAGAAAATCAGGTCATTTGATGCTGCCTGGTGTTAATGATGAGTGAAGATATTTCTGAGCTAATCGCGGGGCTAATGTCCCTTGGGCTCTGCCTGCTTCTGATTTATTAACTTGTATTTGTTAAATGAAAAAAGGCTTGTCTTGAAACACACCCTCATCTGCTCAGTGAGGGCTGCCTGACTGCTGTGGGCTCAGCCATGGTGTTAGCATTGCCAAACTCAAGACATCACTTCAGCTTTTTCCTGAAAGTTCTGCTGGTGTGAATGAGAAGTGCATGGAATTCAAGGAGATGGGTTCAGAAGGGATGCTGGAGGCTGTCTGGAATGAGGAGATGTGTGTGAGACGTGCATGGGTGTCTGCCCTCCTCCTCCCTTGCGTTCGCACTCCCACCCTCCTTCCGCTGTCTGTCTGCAGACAAGGACACGGATCCTGCCTCCATCCAGGAGATCAGTGAGTCAGTTCTGTCCCTGCGCCTCCCCACGGACGCTGCTGCAGTCCGGAGGAGGATGAGCGAGATCCAGAGGCTGGCGGTGGAGCTGCAGTGCCCCGAGGACATCCTTGCCCAGACGGCCGAGGACATCGCCAGGGCCAAGAGGCTGCAGCAGGAGGCAGAGCAGGCCAGGTGGGTGGGGGTTCAAGGCTATTCCCAGCCGAGGGTCCCTTGCCTGGGCTGCAACTGGTGGTTCTCAGCTGGGCTCAAATCTTGCTCTGCCCGAGCTGTCCTGACTTGCGCAATCTGAAGTTTTAGGCTGGGATCTTCTGTGTCCATCCTAAAAGAATGAGTCTGCAATCTCCAGACACCTCCCGGGGCCCCAGTGCGAATAAATCTCCCCAGAATAGATCCTGTTACAGATTCCAGGACAAGAAGGGCTTTATGGAAAGCAGGGGAGGCTTTGCTCTTATCTCGAGTGCCTGCGCTGGGAGATGACAGCGTTGCCCTGGTATTAGCTGATATTGGTGACCTACATCCTAATTGCACAAGAGAGCATGGGGAGAGTTAATGGGCTATTTGTTTTCTAGGTGAAAGTTGGGACAATTATTCCACGGTCCCTTAAAAAGTAATTACAGGGTGTCCTTGCCAATTTGGAGCATCTGCTTTGTCACAAGTTGACTTGCAGCAATACCCCAGCGAGAAGGTCAGCGGGATAAATCTGTAAATTCCTTGGCAGTGTCTGACACCTGCTTAACCTGCTGGAAGCGATGAGACAGGGGAGCCTGGCTTTCTCCAGGGCTCTGTCACCCAGCCTGAGCAGTCCCACTGTGAGCACAAAACTGTTCATCGGGGCTGCTTCTATGGTTATTGCTTTCCCTTTGACACCTTGTCGTACACCATGAAATAAACATTTCAGACCAGTTTGAAGGAAGGCATTTATCTCCCCTTCTTAGTTTGTCTCCTCTGCCAGAGGCTGTGAAGTGGAACTGATGTTCCTCTCACAAGGAAAACTGGTGGAGTCCAGATGTGTGGGTTTTAGGGATGGGACATTGTTACCTTCCCATCAGCAATCCTCTCCTGCTTCCCCAGCTCCTGATTTTACCTCTGTGCCCTGGACTCCCATTCTTTGCCCTTTTCCACCCTCACTCCTGGCTGCTTCCCACCTCTCCCCAGGAACCGGGCGAACGCTGTGGAGGGCAGCGTGGAGGAGGTGCTGGGGAACCTGCAGCGAGCCAACACGGTGCTGCTGGAGGCCCAGGGGGCCCTCAGGGGCTCGGGCTCCTCGCTGCGCTTCATCCAGGAGCGCGTGGAGGAGGTGAGGGATCCCGGCGGCCTCCCTGCGCCCCGTCCTTCAGCCAGCAGGGCTGGCACGGGAAGCCTTTGGGTGTGACTCATCCTAACGGGGCTCCCTGTGCCTGCAGATCGAGGCCGTGCTCGGGCCAGCTGAGAAGAACGTGGTGGCCATGGGGGCCGGGCTGGCCGGGCTGGCCGGGCGGCTCTCACAGCTGCAGCGCAGCACAGAGCAGAACCGCCTGCGGGCCGGGGACACGCGGGACACGGCGGGGACAGCGGCACAGCAGGCCAGCAGGGCCCAGCAGGTACAGCAGGGCACCAGGGCCCAGCAGGTACGGCAGGGCACCAGGGCCCAGCAGGTACCGGGTCACAGCAGGGCCCAGCAGGTACGGCAGGCCAGCAGGGCCCAGCAGGGCACCAGGGCCCAGCAGGTACGGCAGGGCCCAGCAGGTACAGCAGGGCACCGGGGCCCAGCAGGTACTGGCTCAGAGCAGGCCAGCAGGGCCCAGCAGGTACAGCAGGGCACCAGGGCCCAGCAGGTACTGGCTCAGAGCAGGCCAGCAGGGCCCAGCAGGTACAGCAGGGCACCAGGGCCCAGCAGGTACGGCAGGGCCCAGCAGGTACAGCAGGGCACCAGGGCCCAGCAGGTACAGCAGGGCCCAGCAGGTACAGCAGGGCACCAGGGCCCAGCAGGTACAGCAGGGCCCAGCAGGTACGGCAGGCCAGCAGGGCCCAGCAGGTACAGCAGGGCCCAGCAGGTACAGCAGGCCAGCAGGGCCCAGCAGGTACAGCAGGGCCCAGCAGGTACAGCAGCGCCCAGCAGGTACAGCAGGGCACCAGGGCCTAGCAGGTACTGGCTCAGAGCAGGCCAGCAGGGCCCAGCAGGTACCAGGTCACAGCAGGGCCCAGCAGGTACAGCAGGGCACCAGGGCCCAGCAGGTACTGGCTCAGAGCAGGCCAGCAGGGCCCAGCAGGTACAGCAGGGCACCAGGGCCTAGCAGGTACCAGTTCAGAGCAGGTACCAGCTCAGAGCAGGGTCCAGCAGTGCCCAGCAGGTACCAGTTCAGAGCAGGTACCAGTTCAGAGCAGGGTCCAGCAGGGCCCAGCAGGTACCAGCTCACGGTGTGCCCACAGCCAGCTGTGCCCTGGGTGATGCCAGGACACGTTCCTGTGCAGTCATGGCTGCTGAGCTGTCACACCACAGCATGGTCCTGCTGCTGAGCCTCTCCAGAGCCATTCCCAACCCTGAGGCCATTTCTGGTCTGTCCTGCCTGAGGCAGAGCAGCTCGTGGAGCTGTCTGTCAGTCTGTGAGTGCATCACACACTTGGTAACAGACAAAGCTCTGGTGCAGCACCCATTTAACATCCAAACAGGATCCAGCACTGGGAATGCCCCTGTGCCCAGCCTGCTGGGTGTTAGCTGCAGTGTTTTTGCCTTTCCCCAGGCCCTTGCCCAGGTGAAGGAGCTGTACTCGGAGCTGCAGAGCCGGCTGGGGCAGGGCCCAGCGCTGGGTGAGCGGGGCCAGAGGGTGCAGAGCATCAGCCAGGAGGCACAGGCGCTCTTCCAGGAGACCATGGGCATCATGCTCAGGATGGAAAGTAAGGCTCTCACAAACTCAGTGTCATCGTGCCCTGGGGAAGGGCTTGGACTGCAGTGGTGTAATGAGGGAGACTGTGACCGTGTGCACAGGGGTCTGAGGGTGAGGGAGAGATAAGGATCTGACTCTATGGTTCAGAAGGCTGATTTATTATTTTATGATATATATTACATTAAAACTATACTAAAAGAATAGAAGAAAGGATTTCATCAGAAGGCTGGCTAAGAATAGAAAAAGAAAGAATGATAAAAGTTTGTGGCTCAGACAGAGTCTGAGCCAGCTGGGCTGCAATTGGCCATTAATTAGAAACAACCCCATGAGCCCAATCCCAGATGCACCCGTTGCATCCCACAGCAGCAGATAACCATTGGTTACATTTTGTTCCTGAGGCCTCTCAGCTTCTCAGGAGGAAAAATCCTAAGGAAAGGATTTTCCATAAAATGTGTCTGTGACAGGAGACAGGAGACACTTTGGGCAGTGAGAGGGTGGGATGTGGGCTGGAGCTGGTGCTGCTGTGCCAGGAAATTGAGGGTTTTCAAGGGTGCCACCATGAAGGGGAGCCCTGCCTGCAGTGCCACTGTGCTCCCATTTTCCTCCACATGCTCATTTCCATTTTTTGGCATTCAGAACTCGAGGGAGTGGTGTTTGGGGGCTGTTTAGAGGGTGGGGAGCAGAGGGAATGCAGAATGTTGGCTTTCTTGCCCTGTCAGAGCTGTGCAGGAGCGAGGCGGAGGCTCAGCCCAACCCCACCACGTAACCCTTCCCTTCCCTGGCCTCTCTCCTCAGCTCTGGAGTCAGAAATTCAGGAAGGCAACAAGGCTCTGGTGTCCAGGGTGTCACGGCTGTCGGGGCTGGAGGAGAGGGTGGGCAGGATCCGGGACAGCATCAAGAGGAAAGTCGCCTACTACGAGAGCTGCTCCTGAGCAGCCCGGGCATCGCTGCCTCCTCTGCACACACCGACTGCTGTGCTCATCCCACTTTCCAGCTGGAGCTCTCCTGTGCCCAATTCCCTATTTTTAGCAAGTTAATTTTCCGTACCTCTGGAAAAATAGCTGCACTGAACTGAAGGAGCACCCCCATGGAGGGGGTTGGACTGGCCAGAGCTGCCCCGTGGTTGGAGGAAAAAGGGGGAGAGACCTCAGGCTCCCATGGCAAATAAACACAGCCCCAGGTTGTTATTTCCAGAGGGCTTTATAAACTGGGAAGTTATTTTTTTTTCTTCTTTTTGCCAATTCAAGCTCTTTAAGCTGAATTTCACTGTTCAAATTAAAGCCCTCCTGTGGGGTCTTCTAAAGCTTTTTGTCTGTGCTGCAGTTAATTCTTCAAACATGCCAAGGCTTCAGTACTTCCCTCTGAGATCTTCCTTCAAATAAGCAGATCAGAGAAGTGGAGAATTTTATCTCCCTCTGTACAACATACCTACATTTATGCAAATTAGACAAACACAGGCTCACAGTCAAAGGTGAAGTCAGATGTCTTGTTTGATTTTCTGCCACAGTCTGCTTATTTTCCACAGAACATTGTGCCAGAAAAACAGCAGTGGGGGCAGGTCTGGGATGCACAGGGAAAGCTTTAAGAGGGACTTAACAGCCCATTTCCATGTTGGATTTCTATGAATAACCAAGAGGCCCTTTACAAAACAAATCTCAGCTTTATTAAGCAAGTGTTCATTGTGCAATGACAGCCTTGGAAGGGGAGCTCAGACCGTGCTGTGGCATTGTCACACACAGGGAGGTTTCTAGCAGGTTCTCTCTCCTGTTGCAGCTGCACTGAGGGCTGGGCAGCTGAACTCCAGAGTGCCAAGGCCTGGACTAACCAAGCCCGAGGAGAGGACAGGGTGAGGGCTGTAGAAACAAGGGAGCTGCCCCGGGAGGGAAGCTCTGCATGGCTTTGGTTTGTGGGGCTGATGCTGTGCAGGGCCTTGGTGCATTGACAGCTAAACAGGGTGCAGGAAACACAAGCTGATGATGCCCTAAGAGAATGGACACTGGGTGTGGGAGCAGGAGCCTCAGACCTTCCCTCGCCTCCTCCCGGCTGGAACGATCCAGAAACAGCCCGAGCTGCCTGCAGGGACGGATCCTGGCGCTGCTGTGCCCCTGACCCAGCTGGTCACTGCTCTCCAGAGCTGCTGGCAGGGCACAGCCTCCTTTCTGCTCACACTGCCGGCTCTGAGGTGCAGAAAAGAGTCAAAGAGCCCTTCTGGTCCTGCAAGAGAGAGAATTCCAGGTGAGGACTGGGCTTTGTGTCCCTAATGAGCCGCGCCGGGGCAGGGGCAGCTCGGGTCCCCTTGTGGCTCTCACAAAGGGCTGTCACAGCTCTGACTGCTGGAATTGGCCTCTCCGGAGGCTGCAGTGGCTCCAGCTGCGTTTGTCTGTGCTGTTAATCTGCTGTGCTTGTGCTGATCAAACAGCCTCAACAGCAGAGACTGGCACAGGACATGGGAGGAGGGAGCTCTCTTGATGTGGCTTTAGAGGAGAGCTGTGCCAGCAGGAGCTCACCTTGGGGACATTGCTCAGAGCAGAGCAAAGCTGCTCACTGCTCACACAGAGAGCGGTGCAGATGATGGCAGGGCTGAGCCAAGCTGTGGTCAAACAGGATCCAACTGCATTGTTTTACTCTGCTTTACAAAATGAGCCTCTCTGGGCCCTGCTCACAAAGACATTCAAGCCTGCCTGGGCCAAACCTGGCAAAGAGAGGAGCTGCCCGTGCTGAGCCCTTTGCTCATGGCCCCAGCTGAGACCCGGCTGAAGAGCCCAATCCCAGCTGAGGGACAGGTTTGCATTGGTGTTTTTCCCATTAATTAATAACATTAAAAGTTATTAAAAGCTCAATAACTTTTTCCCATGAATCAGTGCAGAGTTTGGTGTGACAAACCCAAGCTTGGCTGCTCTCTCAGGTTCCTGGGCAGCCTCGTTGGGATGTACAAGGTGGATTGCGAGTCAGGGGCCGGGCCCTGGTGGGAGCTGAGAGCTGAGTCATGGCTGGAGAGGTGCTTGGTGAAAGGCTTTTTCTCTTGCAAAAACCCTGCCTTTGTTTATTTCGTGTACAGTCACCGTGCTATTTCTGCCTTTCCCTTTTGCCTGCCCTAATTGGATTAATTAGGAGCAGCTGAGGATTGGATTGCAGGGCACTCACCTCTGCCCACGTGGCTGCCTCCATCACATGATCAAACAAACTCCAGTTTGCCCAGTGCCACAGTGAGATGAGTGTTTACTGGTTTTCACTGGAACAAGAACCTCTGACTTGAAATGGCTGAAAGGGAATAGAAAGAAGAGAAATTGCAATTATTTAGGATCGTTCTGTAGGGGAGTTGTGGTGCCAATGTACAGAACATCAGCTGTCAGAGCAGGGTGGGTGCAGTCCCTGCAGCCAAGGCAGGGTCTGGTCTCCCTGAGCCACTCCTGTGGAAATGCAGCCGTGCTCCAGTGCATGGGGGCTGTGCCACCCAGCCTGGGCACCCTGCTCACCCATGCTGGGACACCCAGCAGAGCCTGGGCTGGGCACAGCTTCCAGCCAAACCGAGCACTGGCTCATCCCTCCCCTTCTCCTCCACTCCTGCATCTCCATTCCCATTGCATTTGCTGGGAGCTCATGCAAGGACCTGGATACTTACTGGGATTTTGAAGACTTTTTGAGCAGCACTGTCTCGGAGCAGGAGGATGCCTTGGTCCTCTCGTGGCCCACACAGGAGGGGCTGCAGCCACAGGAGCTCCTGCCCGGGGGGCTGTGGCTGTCTGGCAGGGCCAGGCTGCTGTCCCTGGGCAGGGCTCCCTCCTCTGGGGGGCTGGGGGTGTCCCTGGGCAGGGCTCCCTCCTCTGGGGGGCTGGGGGTGTCTGGCAGGACCAGGCTGCTGTCCCCAAGCAGGGGTCCCTCCTCTGGGGGGTTTGGCAGCTTTTCCTCCCCCATTTCCGTGTCCTGCTGGAGCTGAGGGGGCCTGGGTGGGTTTGGGTGCCCCTGAGAGGGGCCCTGAGCTGTGTCCTTGTCGTCGCTGGGCGCTGCTGGTGGGGGGGTCCCCGTGGGGCTGCTGGGCCTGGGGGGCTCGGAGGTCTCTGGGGCAGGGACAGAGCCCTCGGCTGCCCCGTGGCCGCTCATGTGCAGCTTCCTCATGTGGTGCACGACGGCCGCGGCGTTGAAGGCTTGCTGGGGAGGGAGACAAAAGCCCTGTGAGCAGCTGGGGATGCCAGGACACGCTGTCCCCCCCTGAGTGACACCAGAGCTGTCAGCACTGGCTGTTTGGGATGGGCACATTCCTGCCACAAACACCACCTTTCATGGGGTGCAGGCTGCTGGTGTGTTTGGGGCTCACAGCTGCTGCCAGCCCAGGAACACAGCTGGAAATGACCCCCTGGCTCTGCTCCATGGTTGTGGTGAATCTCACTGGGGGAATATTGCTGCCATCACCCTGCAAACATGGACTGCAGGCAATCCCAGCTTTGGAGGATCCCAGGGTTTGGGTGCTCACCCTGCCAGTGAAGCCCTGCTCAGTGCTGGCTGACAGCCACTGGTGTTTGCTGGTGAAATGGCTCGGGGCTCCAGCAGCAGCCACTTACCCTCCACTTGCTCTTTGCAAAGTTTTTCTGGATCTGAGCGCTGACAGATGGGTAGATGTCACGGTGAAGGGCTGTATTTCCATTAATCCTGCAGATGGAAGAGAAGAAAATGGGCTCGTAGGCAGATGGCATTTGTAAGGCATTCCACATTCTGCAGGCACCGAACTGCTTTGTACGTTCAATCAGCAATAATTAAACCCAAAGGAAAAACAGCAACAAAATGTAACACAAACACACACTTCAAAGCCTGGGAAAGCTCAGGGTGGGATTTCTCCTCTGCCTCTGTTTGTGGAGGCAAATATGCACAAATTGCATCTTTAATTATTCATGGTTTGCTTTCTGTGCACACAAGAAGGAGCCAGCCCGGCAGTGCGGGGGAGGCGGTGACGATAATGACGATAATGACGATAACGATGTTAATGACGTTAATGACGGGGTGGGGGACACTCCTGTGGTGGGGACGCTCCCGTTCCCTGCTCCCACAGAGCACAATGAGCACGCAGGGTGACCCCGGGGCACCCCCAGCTCACCACGGGTGCCTCAGGGCCTCCTCGCAGGTGAACCTCGCGCTCGGGTTCTTCTCCAGGAGGTGCCGGATGAAGTCCTTGGCTGTTTGGGAAAGGGGAAAAGCAGACAGGGGTTATTGCCTCGTTATTGGCTCCTTCTTCCAGAGCTGATCCCGGCAGAACACGGGGAATGAACAGCACAGAGGCCAGCCCCGAGGAGAAGGGGCCTGTGTGGCTGCACCAGGGGATGTTCAGGGGGATTTGGGGAATATTCCTTCACTGAAAGAGTGGTTGGGCACTGGGAGGGGCTGGCCAGGGCAGCGGTGGAGTCACCATCCTGGAAGCGCTCAGAAAATGAGAGATGGCACCTGGTGATGTGGCTTGGTGGGATTCAGCCAAAGGCTGGACTTGTAGACCTTTTCCAACCTTAATATTTCTGTGATTACTCCAGGAAAGGAAGATTCTTATAGTGACAGGCTCCAGATGAAAAAATATCAACTCTGGGTGTACCAAACTTCACTCTTAGATTGTGTGAATTGCAGTTGAATTCTGCAATTCCACTCTAACTCAAACTCAACTCAAAATAAACTCAACTCTAATTCAAAACTAACTCTAGAAACCATGAAGTGAAAACTGAGCAGGTTTAGAAGTTGCCCTGAAGAGCTCTTACATCTCCCCCCTTTTTTTTCCCTCTGTTTTTTTTTCAGGAAGGATTGTGATGTTTGTTATTAAACCCCAGCACACCCCCTGCTAGGTTTGTTTGTTTGTATAAAAGATTGATGTTGAAATAAGCCATGAGGATGCTGCCTGCAGTGAGCTCCACCAGCAGCTTGGGCTGGTGAAGTGGTGGCTGACAGGACAGAGGAAAAAAATGGGGAAAAAACCCCAGAGCTTCCATTCTTACAGAATCCCAGGATGGTTGGGGTTGGAAGGAGCCTCAAAGCTGATCCGGTGCCATCCCTTCATTACCTGACTCGGAGATATCATCCCAAAACGGAGACTCAAACTCGTAGTAGCCTTCCTTGATCTTCTCAAAGAGTTTGGACTCGGTTTCCTCGTAGAAAGGAGGGTACCCACAGAGCCTGGGGCAGAGCAGAGACACAGGGGCCCTTCAGTGCCAGCTCAGAGTGGGCACAGGCTCCTCCACACACAGCCCAGAGTGGGCCCCCAAGCCAGGAGTGACAGTGACAGTGATGACGAGGAGCTGCTCTGTCCCCTCCCTGCTCAGGGGATCAGCAAAGCTGCACAAAAGGGTTAAAAACTCCCCTGCAGCAGCAGCAGCGAGAGGACAAAGCCACAGCTGGTACCGAGCTGAGAGTGTGGGAGGAAACGAAACAAAAAGTCCCCGGGAAGATGGAATGGTTTTTGTAGGGAACTGGAGAAAAACAAAGCAGAGGATGAGGCACAGGCAGAGCAAATGGGATTCCTGTCATCTCCTCTCCCATGCTCAATTCCCCACATCCCCTTAATTTCTGGGTTTGGGAGGAATTCGGTGCAGTGCTCCACAGAGAAAGGAGAGGGCTGGCCTTATCCTCGCTCTGCAGAGCTGGGAGAGTTCCCAAACCCAGGGCAAAGGAAAAGGAGCAGGCTGCTGCTGCCTGCTGGTACTCACAGGATGTAGGTGATGACCCCAATGGACCAGCAGTCCACGGCTTTGCTGTAGGGCTTCTGGGCCAGCACCTCGGGGGCTGCAGGACAGCAAAGCAAAGGGCAGCTCTGAGCAATAATGGATTATCCAGCACTGGGGGAAGCAGGAGGTTCAGCCAGGAACAGCCCCATCTCCCAGCTGAATTGGTCTGCTGCTTTTGGATCTTTTTTATGCCATTATATAGAAAGAACCACAGACAGTCTCTGCCTGCATGCTGAGGTTTAACCACAGAGCTGATCCAGCCAGTGCAGTCTGGTGGGAATTAAATAAAATCCCATTGCATTAAAATATTTTTTTTTCTTTTCAATAAATATATTGCCCTTAAAATTACCCTTTTCTTTGCATTTTTAAAACAGAGATTTTTCAGCCCCTACATTCATTTAGAGGGTCTGTGCAGGGCATTTGTGAGCCCCATGTTGTTACCAATGTATTGATGTGTGTCTGTCCCTCCTGCAGGCATGTCCTGGTTGTGCACAACCCTTTCTCCAGGAGCTCCACCACCACTCCTGCCCCTGGCTCACCCACGTATCCTGGGGTCCCACAGGCCGTGGACATGATCCCGTTCTGCTCCATTTTCGACAGGCCGAAATCCGTGATCATGATTTTGGAGTTCTCCTCAGGGGTGAGGTACAGCAGGTTCTCAGGCTGGAGACACATTTGGGGCAGGAAAATGGAAAAGAGGAGTGTGGTTACCAATTGTTGTGGTGGTGTTGTGAGGCCCCCAGGATGAGGTGAGAGATGAGAATTGACTCCAAGTTCTCCAAGAAGGCTGATTTATTATTTTATAATATTATATTGAAAGAAAATTACACACTAAAACTATACTAAAAAAAAAAGAAAAAAAAATCAGAGAGCTAAAAAAGAAATGATGATAAAAAGCTCGTGACTGACCAGAGTTTTTTTAACTAAACTAGAATTAATCATTAATTAAAAACAATTCACATGGAACCAATCAACCCCCAAACCACCATCAAATAATTATTGTTTACATTTCTTTTCTGAGGCTTCTCAGGAGAACAATCCTGGCAAAGGGATTTTTCATAAAGCATGGCAGCGATGGAGGAGCAGGAGGGGCTGGGGCAGAGCAGGCGAGGCGCACAGGCAGGGCTCACCTTGAGGTCGCGGTGCACGATGCCGTTCTCATGCAGGTATTTGACCGCTGTCAGCACCTGGTGGATCACCAGGCTGGCGTCCTTCTCCGTGTACACTCCCCTCTCCAGGATCCTGTCAAACAGCTCTCCCCCCGACACCCTGTGGAGAGAAAAGGACTGCAGTAAACACAAACAGAGCTTCTGCGTGAGCTCGGCTGAGTTTCTGCTCCTTCCTCAGCAGCTTTTGGGAGGCTGAGGCTGATGGGAGCTCCTGGGTGCAATGCCAGGCTGCCAGTGGGGATTGCTGGCACACCTGGGCACTCTGGGGGAGCTCTGAGGCAAGTCCTGCTGGGCCAGTGTCACAGGCATCTCCTATGGAAAATCCTTTCCTTGGGATTGTTCCTCCTGAGAAGCTGAGAGGCTTCAGGAACACAATGCAAACAATGGTTATCTGCTGCTGTGGGATGCAACAGGTGCATCTGGGATTGGGCTCATGGGGTTGTTTCTAATTAATGGCCAATCACAGCCCAGCTGGCTCGGACAGAGAGCCGAGCCACAAGCCTTTGTTATCATTATTTCCTATTCTATTCTTAGCCAGCCTTCTGATGAAATCCTTTCTTCTATTCTTTTAGTACAGTTTTAATGTAATATATATCATAAAATAATCAATCAGCCTTGTGAACCATGGAGTCAGATCCTCGTCCCTTCCCTCACCCTGGGACCCCTGTGCACACCATCACAGGGCTGGTACCCAGGTACCCAGCCCTGCCTCAGGCTCCCCCCAGCAGTGGTGGAGGGTTTTGTTCTGCACTGAACCTGCAGTCAAGCAGCAGCACAGGGTGCTCAGAGCTGTTCCCTGCTGCTGACACGGTGCCCATTCCATTTCTAGAAACCCTGCGTGGCACAGCTTTAGTTAGAAATACTTCTGTCTCTGCCCTGCTAAACTGTCAGGAGTTAATTTGCATCAATAGATCCAAACCATGGTTCAGAAGGGGATGTGGGGAGTGCCCAGGTTGGTGCTGACACCCCACACGTCCCCTGCTCCTGCCCTGTCCCTCTGTGTGGCCCCAAAGAATGGCTCTGCTGGTACTCACAGCTGCATGACCAGGTAGAAGTGGGTTGTGCTCTCATAAATATCCTCCAAAGTCACAATGTTTTCGTGCTTTATCCTGCAAAGGGAAACGTGGGTCAGAAACAAATCCTGGTGAGGGCAGAGGGGGGAAAACCCAGCAGTCATCTTGCTTTAATCACCAGGGAGGTTCACTGGGGGTTCTGGGGCTGCTGTCCCTCCCCCTGCACGGCACAGGATCACTGATGCCCATCCCATTCCTTTTGGAGCACCAGGCCCCATTGGGGGGGCCAGACCCTTCATTGAAAGCCCCCAGCACAGCAGGAAGGCTCCTTGGAGTGTCACACTCACTTTTTCAGCACTGCTATTTCATTCTCCAGGCTGCTGTCCCTGTTGAGAGGAGACTTCTTGATGCATTTCAGAGCAAAGAGCTTGCCAGTGCTCTTCTGCTTCACCAGGAAAACTTCTGAGAAGGCACCTCTGCAGAGAGGGGGAGAGGCTGCACGTCAGGGGCACAGGGGGGACTGGCAGAGAGGGGAAACAGCACAGAAAACACTGTGGTGGAACTTCATGTGGGTGCTGATTCTAAAGCTGGCACTGTACTGGAGCAGCCCCAAACTCAGGGTGCTCAAGGCAAGGTTATGCAATGTGAATAAAACCCCACAAGTTTTTTTCTCTAGACAAAATGTTAATTGTGCACAGTGCAGGAGGGAGCTGCGGTTTGGGCTGTGCCACCCAGCGTTCTGCAGGTCCAAAATGCAAAGCAGCAGAAGAAGCCCAGTTAATCTTTAAATTCAGGCTCTGCTTGTTCTCCTGCTGCTGTCCCCGTGTCCCCGTGGGGACAAAGTGACAGTGAGTGTCTGCTCCCCCCCAGCAGAAGCAGCAGGTATTTATAACCTGCCTAAAACCCCAATCCAGCTTTGTCCTGGAGCTGAGCACGAGGCTGGGGCAGTGACAGTGACACTGGGCCAGTCCCCACTAATCCTCATCAAACCTTAATGATCCAGCTCCTTAACTGGGGGCCTTAAATGGGACTTGCTGTGAGTCTCAGGGCAAGGAAGGGCAGTGCTCTGGAGCCTGGGGGAAAGTGAAAACAACTTTGAGGTGGTTTTTAAGTCCCAGATCTTCATTTCAATTCTTCAGAGAGCTGGAGCAATGCACGTGGGAAAAATCCCAATTTCTAATGCTAAATTTTCCTATTAAAGCAATAGTAGGAAATGAACAACCTACAAATCAGCTGCTGGGGCATCTGTTCTACATCTCTGTCCCAAACAGTTTATAATAATTATGCTCCTTATTAAAAATGATGAATCAACAAGTGGGCTAGGAGAGAACAAAGCTTTTTCTAACCTCATTCCCTTAGCGAAAGCTGCTGGATAATTCAATTAATCTCTGAGGCTGACAAGGCTCAGAATTTGGAGGAGCTGCTTCTTTGGGAGCTTTCTCGTGGGCTCAGAAGTCACAGAAAATTTGTCCATGACAGAACTTGCTGGTGGAGGTAATTCAATTCCTCCCCCACAACCTTGGCAATGTTTTGTTGTCTCATCCCCATGAATAGGCAAATGAAGCTGTTAACGCACAGGGAAGGATTGTACAACTCCAACATCCTTGTTTTTGTTTCATTCCCCAACTGAGTCAGGGCTCCTGAGCTAAATATACAACTTGTTATTGTCGAGCTCTGCCGTGCCAGCCCTGACCTTGCTGCGGGAGTGGGGCAAAAACCTTCCCTGCAAGAGAGGCCCCTTCAGGATCAGAGGGGCTGCAGGGAGGGCAGGGGCACCTGGAGGGAGGGCAGGGGGCACCTGGAGGGAGGGCAGGGGCTGCAGGGAGGGCAGGGGCACCTGGAGGGAGGGCAGGGGCACCTGCAGGGAGGGCATGGGCACCTGGAGGGTGGGCAGGGGGCACCTGGAGGGTGGGCAGGGGGCACCTGGAGGGCAGGGGCACCTGCAGGGAGGGCAGGGGCACCTGGAGGGAGGGCAGGGGGCATCTGGAGGGTGGGCAGGGGCACCTGCAGGGTGGGCAGGGGGCTGCAGGGAGGGCAGGGGGCACCTGCAGGGTGGGCAGGGGGCTGCAGGGAGGGCAGGGGCACCTGGAGGGAGGGCAGGGGCACCTGCAGGGAGGGCAGGGGCACCTGCAGGGAGGGCAGGGGGCTGCAGGGAGGGCAGGGGCACCTGGAGGGAGGGCAGGGGCTGCAGGGAGGGCAGGGGCACCTGCAGGGAGGGCAGGGGGCTGCAGGGAGGGCAGGGGGCACCTGCAAGGAGGGCAGGGGGCACCTGCAGGGAGGGCAGGGGGCACCTGCAGGGAGGGCAGGGGCACCTGGAGGGAGGGCAGGGGCTGGGGGCTCTGCTGCTGTTTGGGGAGGGCGAGCCAGGAGCAGCAGCAGCAGCAGCCTGGGCACCCCTGACCTGCTCCTGCCTGTCCCAGAGCAGCCAGTCCGGGGACTCTGAGCAGGGCCAGGAGGGAGCCAGGAGGGGCTGGGGCTGCTCCTGCCCAGGGACACAGGGACAGCAGCCTCTGCTGGTACTCACGAGCCCAGGGCCTCCATGAAGATGAAGGTTTTGCGGATGTTGCTCGTCTGCTTCTTCCAGGAGCCGCTGCCTTCCTCCTCCTTGCGCCCCATCTCCTCCAGAGTGGAAGCAGGAACGCTGGGAGGAAGAGGAGGAGGAGGAGGAGAGGTCACTGGCAGTCTGTGCTTGCAGGGAGCTCAGGACCCCCCAGTCACAGCTGGGGTCAGAGCTGGCCAAGGCCTGGGAGCTGTGAAATGCCCCCCAAACCCTCAGAACCCAACATGGGATGGAGTCTGGGGACTGGAGGGACACTGGAACCTGAGAGAGGGACCTGGAGACAGGGGAAAAACTGATATAAAAGTGACCCTGGGCAGCAGGGAGCATCCCTGGGATTGGGGAGCATCCCTGGGTATGGGGATCATCCCTGGCTGTGGGGAGCATCCCTGGGATTGGGGAGCATCCCCTGCCCAGGGCAGGAGGGGAGCCAAGGGCTGTGGGACACAGCTGAGCCTTCAGAAGGCAAAGCAAAAGCTCTCCTGGATGTTTTTTACCCCATTTGGAAAAGGCAGAAGTATTCAAGCAGAGAAGAAGCTGAAAGGTCTTTTTTCATGAGAGGCTGCTTAGATATTGGATTCTTCCTGAACCTACTTTATCTCCTTAATTAGCACGTTTGCAGGGTTTTCAGCTCCTTGACACAATTTTTAAAGGTTAATTTAACATTATTGAAACCAAGATTGACTCAATTGTAAACAGCTGAAGCTTTCAGTCCATAAAATAACCAAAGGCCTCATGAACTTGACCTTTATTTACCTCTTGGTTTCTGATGCCTGTGTAAGTCACAGACACCAGCTCCTTCCAGAGCCCAGCCTTGCTGTTTGGAATCAGAGAAGGTCAAAAGTCCTTCACAAAAACGCTGATCAATCAGTAGAAAACTTTCTGCCAATTACTTTAAGTCCCTAAATAATGTTTTCTTTGCAGTCACCTGCCCATTCCAAATCTACAGATCTGGAATATCACAGAAAAAGAATTTGTGGGCAGAGACATTCAGCTGGTGATGGTAGGTGAGTTTTATCCACTCTAAATAAATATCAGGGCTGGCAGGGTGGTGCTCAGTGACAGGGAAAACTGAGAGGAGCCCTCCATTCCTGCTGCCAGCCACAGAATATGAGGTGAAAAAAGAGAATAAAATCCCCAAGTAGGTCAGCCTGGCCCTGGGGACCAGTGGCATTTTGGGCTCTGTGCTGGAGCACGTCCTGGTTGGGATGGGACAGAGGGAACAGGGCAGGGAGAGCCTCCTGCCCCAGGCAGAGGTGACAGTGCCCAGCCCTGGGACAGGGCTGATGGACACTCACTCCTGACAATTCGGCCCATCCAAGCCCAGGGCTTCAATCCTGGCTGATTTCAGCTCCATTCCTGGAGTATTTTGATGTTGAATTCCTTGTGAATTCAACAAGTTCCCTGTTTTAAAGGGAGTTTGCTCCCAGGGGAAGGCAGGGTCATGGTGTGCTCGCTGTCTGTGAACCATGGGCTGGTGTCAGAGCTGCTCCTGCTGGCCCTGGGGTGGGGCAGCTGTGCTGGGGACAGGCTGCAGGAGCAGCTCTCAGCCTGCACGTGGGGCTGATCTCCTGCTTGCTCAGGTTCCCTGTGCCATCAGCAGTAAATCATCTCAGCCATCTCCTGCCTGGCCTCACCTCTCTGCTGTTCTGGCAGCAAAAGGAGGGAATGTCTGGGCTCCTGAGGTGGAAGGCTGCCCATGGCAGGGGGTGCAAGGGAATGGTCCCTTTAAGGTCCCCAACCATCCTGGATCCCAGCAGGGCTCAGGTGATGGAGCATTGCCCACTCTGCTCCTTCCCTGGGCACTTTCCTCTCTTGGTACCAGGGCAGGAGTTTGCCCAGGGGTGGGTGCAGAACGCAGGGGCCTCTCAGCCCAGCCAGGATCATGGGCTCAGCAGGATGGGGATTCCCTGGGAGCTCACCTTTGTCTCAGTCTGCCTGAGTCACCTGTTGTACTTTGCAGCAGTTGGGCACAATGCAATGCTTGATGTAGTTCTTGTTTGTCTTTTGTTATTTATTCAAGCTCTGCGCAACAATCCCAAAATCCCAGATTGGTTTGGGTGGGAAGGGACCTTAAATCCAATCCAGTGCCACCCCTGCCATGGCAGGGACACCTTCCACTGTCCCAGGCTGCTCCAGCCTGGCCTTGGGCACTGCCAGGGATCCAGGGGCAGCCCCAGCTGCTCTTCCCTGTGCCCTTCCCAGTGCCCAGCCCTGGGTTTATGGATGGACTCCCTCAGCTGGGGAAGCTTCCCCCAGCAGTGGGACCGTGGCAGAAGCTGGGCAAACCCCTGGTGCTGGGACTGGCAGATTCCTGCCCTGCTCTGTGCCCCCCTGCCCACCCCAGCCCTGCTGTGCCCTCCTTCCCTGCCAGCTCCACCTGACCCCGTCCAGCTGGGCCTGGGGACAGATCCCAGCCCCAGCCCTGGGATGCACACAGGGGGCAGCCAGGAGCACCTGGAATTCCCATGATTTATACAATTATTTCAATAATTCACATGATTTTAACTCCTGATCCCACGAGGGGCTGTGGTGCCCTTGTGCCCGTTCACCTCCTGGCGCTGCAAGCACTCTGGTGTGCCACGGTTGCATAATGAGATTGAAAAGCTCATTAACTCATGCAGGTGAGACCCTCTGGAGCTGAGAGGGAAAAGCTCATTAACTCATGCAGGTGAGAGCCTCTGGAGCTGAGAGTGAAGTGCAGAACTCAGCTTTGATTTGCAGAGCTTCCCCTTCCCCATCATAACAAAAACAGCAACAAGCAGGGCTGCACCCGAGTTTATACCCTGGACAGAAGATAATAAACAAGTGTGATACCAGAAGATAATAAACAAGTGTGATACCAGAAGATAATAAACAAGTGTTATCAGATATCAGTGTCTGACCTCTGGCTCTCCTCCAGCCTGAGCCAAGCTCTGCTCTGCTCTGCCTGATCCAGCTCGACACTGCTCAGGGTGCAAGGGGTGTTATCATGACCTTGCTTAAATCTTTCTGAGGAAATCTGTCCTGCTCCCCCATCCCACAGCAACAAACCCATCTGCAGCCAGCCCCTGCTCCTGAATGGATGCTCTGCATTGGCAGGATGATTGTAAGTCATGATTAATGGTCTCGTGACAAACTTCCATGGGCAGGGGGAGCAGACATGCAGCTTTCAGGGCTTTGCCTTTGCAATTAGAAGTTTATAGGGGAAAAAGGGGAATACAAATTCAAAGGGCTTTGATTTAAAAAAAAAAAAAATATACAGCAAAGCAAGCAAATCTGCATGTGAATGAACAAATGAATGAATGAATGAATGAATGAATGAAGTGCCAGGGCAGCCTCCGTGTTCAGGGACAAAAGAACAAGAAACCAAAGCCACGAGCTCGCCATTAAAAACAAACCCATGTCAGAGCTCTGGATCCCCCCTCCACAGCATCCATTCCAACTTGGGGAACACTTGCAAAATCTCCATTTTCATTGGAAATATCCCAGATAATACTACGGATGGAAAATGTCAGAGACAGCTTTCTATGAAACCACTGAACACAACACGAGTGCTGGAGGATACTACAGAGGAGCAGTCCTCCGGTGTTTCCCTGCTACAGGATAAATCCAATTTAAATCAAAGCAGGTGAGCAGGGACCCCACCTGCTTCCCTGAGAGAGCAGGAACAGCAAATGGCTCGTAAGGAAAGAAAATTCTGCTTACCCAGGTCAGCACAGACAGAGCTGCTCCTGTTGGCTGCTCGCGCTCGGCACCGTCTGCGAGGATTAGAGCCGGGAGGAGGAGGAGGAGGAGGAGGAGATGGAGCTGAGATGGTAACCAGGGAGTCACCAGGGAGTCATCAGGGGCACGGGGACAGTGCAGCAGGGCTGGAGCCCGGTGCCATCAGGCTCAGTGCAGTGCCACCAGGCTCAGGACAGTGCCACCAGGCTCAGTGCAGTGCCACCAGGCTCAGGGCTGGGGCTGGGTGTGCAGCAGCCACTCCTGCTGGCACTGAGACATCCCTGATGCAAATCCAGGCTTCCTTCCTCACCCAAACAACTCCTCAGGGCTGGAAACTGCTCCCATTGCCTTGGCACAGGCTGGCACTCCTGTGGCACTGCCCTGGCTGTCCCAGCAGCAGCTCCAGCACGGGCAGGGGATGCTCCTCACCATCCCTGAATGGCACAAACCCTGGAGAACAATCAATGGGCAGAGGTGAATTGCCATGCCCCGAATTTGGGGCTGTTTTACCCCAAACAATGCCTCTGTTTTGAATTTCAAAACCTCCCTGTGAGTGTCTGCTCAAGCACAGCACATATGAATAGAGGAAATATTAGTAATTCTTTGAATCTTTTCTATGGTGTGGGATTTTTAGAGCTGGCAATAACAACTTTACTGACTACATTCTCAGTTGATTTACACTGCCATCTAGAATATGCATGGAAAAAGTCCATATCATGGTGGAGTTTAGTTTTATGTCAGGAATAAATCAGCTCTGAGGCAATACTTGAAAATCACATTCTTTTTCCCTATATTTTCCCTCAGAAGCTTGGTTCTAAGGCAAAGGCTCTGGGGTGCTGTTCCTGTCTCTGCTGGTCAGGCTCCATCCCAGGTCAGGAGTCCTGGCTGTGGCTCTGAACGTGCAGCTTCCCTTCAGTGCAAAGTTTGGGTGGAATTTCCATGGATTTTACCTTGAAAGCCTTGCAAGGCCTCAGTCCCACAGCAGGGGAGACACCAGAGCCAGAGGGGTGGGAGAGGCTTTATTAGGGGGTTAATTGGGTTTGTTAGGGGGATATAACGACCTGCTGGCTGTGGAGTGTGGGCTGGAGATGGTTTAGCAACAGGGGCATCTTGGACTGGTCTCCTGTGCATTGTTTCTACTTGATGACCAATCATGGTCCAGCTGTGTTGGGGCTGTGAGCAGTCCCAGGTTTTTATTATTCATTCCTTTCCAGCTTTCTGATGTCTCATTGCTCTTTTAGGATAGTTCTAATATCTCATTTTCTTTTAATATAATAGAGATCATAGAATAATATTTCAGCCTTCTGAAAGGTGGAGTCAAGATTCTCGTCTCCTCCCTTGTCCTGGAGGACCCTCAAACACCACCACAATCAGCGGCCGAGCGGGTTTGTGCGAGCCTCTCAGGAACCCTGGGCTGGTCCTGAGTCAGCAGACACCGGGGGGGGGCAGCCCTGACACGGCCGAGAGCCGGGAGACACTGTCTGTGTGTGCCCCGAGGGTACTGAGGGCACCTGGGCTGGCAGGGAGACACTGTCTGTGTGTGCCCCGAGGGTACTGAGGGCACCTGGGCTGGCAGGGAGACACTGTCTGTGCCCCGAGGGTGCTCAGGGCACCTGGGCTGGGGGCAGACACTGTCTGTGTGTGCCCCGAGGGTACTGAGGGCACCTGGGCTGGGGGGAGACACTCTCTGTGTGTGCCCCGAGGGTACTGAGGGCACCTGGGCTGGGGGCAGACACTGTCTGTGTGTGCCCTGAGGGTACTGAGGGCACCTGGGTTGGGGGCACACACTCTCTGTGCCCTGAGGGTACTGAGGGCACCCAGCTGGTGCCTTTGCAGCAGAATAGACACCAGAGACATCTGGTTAAAGGGCCGACTCTTAGCAGGGGTTAATCCAGGGCTTTATTAAGAGTCCCAAAGGAGCTCCTGCACCTCAGGGGGCTCCTGCCGAGAGCCCCGGAGAGATGTGCCAAGGTTGCATTTAAAGGGAGGTGGAAACCAAAAGTAGATAACATCCTACCAACCATTAAGTGACCCTAAGGGATGGATGCTGGGGGATAAACATAGAGGACAGCGTATGGGGCAAGGCTTGGGGGCTGACCCCTGGCCTCTGGCTCATCACTCAACACTTGGACTGAAACTTCTGGATGGAGGGGATGGGAGGCTGAGTGATTGACAGAGAGCCAGGGTGGGGGTTTGGGGATGATCTCATCCCGGGAGAGGGATAACACAGGTAAAGGGAGGGGGGTACAGTTTGGGATAAACCATTTGGGGAAAATATGGGGATACAAAACAAAATTACTTCAAAGTATTACAAAGTATAAAAATGCACTACTGCAGGTTTGGGCAGCACCAAATAAAATAAAATGATTTAAAAATAGAAAAATTAAAAATAAAAATTAAATAAAATTAAAATAATAAAATTAATTTAAAATAAATGAAAAACAAAATAAAAACTGTAAAGTGCTGCAAAATGCCATAAAAGTTCCATAAAAGGTAGTGCCGTAATGCAAGACCCTCATACACCACCACAATCAGCAGCTTGAGTTGGTCTGGACAGCACCAAATAAAATAAAATAAAAAGCTTTAAAAAGAGAAAAATTTAAAAAATGAATTAAATGAAAAATAAAATTAAAAAATAAAATAAAAAGCTTTAAAAAGAGAAAAAAATTAAAAATTAATTAAATTAAAAATAAAATTTAAAAATAAAATAAAAAGCTTTAAAAAGAGAAAAATTAAAAAATAAATAAAATTTTAAAAAATAAAAATCTTTGAAAATAGAAAAATTAAAACTAAAAATTAAATTAAATTAAAAAATAAAAAAACTTTAAAAATAGAAAAATTAAAAATAAAAATTAAATAAAACATAAAAGTAAAAAATAAAATAAAAAGCTTTAAAAAGAGAAAAATTTAAAAAATGAATTAAATTAAAAATAAAATGAAAAAATAAAATAAAAACCTTTAAAAAGAGAAAAATTAAAAAAATAAATTAAATTTAAAATAAAATTAAAAAATAAAATAAAAAGCTTTAAAAAGAGAAAAATTTTAAAAAAAATTAAAAAAACCTAAAAAATAAAATAAAAAGCTTTAAAGAGAAAAAATTTAAAAAATTAAATAAAAAAAATTAAAAAAAAATTTTAAAAAGCTTTCAAAATAGAAAAATTTAAAAAATAAATAAAATAAAACATAAAATTTAAAAAATTTTAAAAAGCTTTAAAAATAGAAAAAATAAAAATAAAAATAAAAACCCCATAAAATAAAAAAATAAAATATAAAGCTTTAAAAAGAAAAAATTAAAAAAAAATTAAATAAAAAAGTAAAAAAAATTAATTAAAAATAAATGAAAACCAAAATAAAATCTGCAAAGTGCTGTAAAGTACTGTAAAAGTTCCATAAAAGGTAGTGCCGTAAAGCACGACTGTCGCAAAAGGTGTCGTGAAACCCGACTGTCGTAAAAGGTGCCGTAAAGCAGAACTGTCGTAAAAGGTGCCGTAAAGCGCGACTGTCGTAAAAGGTGCCGTAAAGCGCGACTGTCGTAAAAGGTGCCGTAAAGCGCGACTGTCGCAAAAGGTGCCGTAAAGCGCGACTGTCGCAAAAGGTGCCGTAAAGCAGAACTGTCGTAAAAGGTGCCGTAAAGCGCGACTGTCGTAAAAGGTGCCGTAAAGCGCGACTGTCGCAAAAGGTGCCGTAAAGCGCGACTGTCGCAAAAGGTGCCGTAAAGCGCGACTGTCGCAAAAGGTGCCGTAAAGCAGAACTGTCGTAAAAGGTGCCGTAAAGCGCGACTGTCGCAAAAGGTGCCGTAAAGCGCGACTGTCGCAAAAGGTGCCGTAAAGCGCGACTGTCGCAAAAGGTGCCGTAAAGCAGAACTGTCGTAAAAGGTGCCGTAAAGCGCGACTGTCGTAAAAGGTGCCGTAAAGCAGAACTGTCGCAAAAGGTGCCGTAAAGCGCGACTGTCGTAAACCGCTACTGTCGCAAAAGGCTTCATAAATCGCGACTGTCGTAAAATGCTGTAAAGTGTGCCGTAAAGCGCGACTGTCGTAAAGTACCGCAAGAGGCGTTAAGAAAACCTCATAGAATGGATTTTAAGGAATTTCCCCAATGACCGTTCAGCCGTGTTTAGCAGACACTTTTGGGACAGAGGTGTTTAAAGCACTTTAATAGCATCTCCTGCCGGCCATGGCTGCCGGGGAGCTGCTCCCAGCCTCCAGGGCGTGGCTTGAGCCGTGTTTGCCGCACGGGGGGTGCCCGCAGCAGCCGCCCCGCCCCTCCTGCGACTCCGCCCCTCGCCGCCGCGAGTCTCCAGCGGGACACGCCCCCCCCCCCCCCTGTCGGACCGCGCAGCTCCGGCACCCGCGGTGCTGCTCGCCCCTGCCGCCCCGCCCCCTTTAGCCCCTCCCACCAGCCCCGCCTTTGCCGTCCCGCCGCTCCCGGCTACCGCGGGCCCCGCCCCTCAATCCCGCCCACCGCCGTCACCGCGGCCCCGCCCCCCGCTCCCGCCGCTCCCCCCCGCTGCCAGTGCGGCCGCTCCTGCCCCCCCCACGTCCCCCTCGCCCCCTTTGCCGACCCAGCGGGGCCGGTGCTGGCCCAAGTCCCGTCGCTGCTGCGTCTTTGCCGTTCCCCGCAGCTCCCGGGTCTGCGGTGCCGAGCGCGCCTGGCGCGGCCGCGCTGCGCCCCCAGCGCCCCCTGTGCGCGTTGCCGCGGGAGCCCGCCCCCCCCCCCCCCGGCGTTCCAAGCGCACGCAGCGCACCCCGAGCTGCCCACGGGCCCCGCCGCAGGGCAAACGCCCACGGCTGACCCCGTCCCTGCCGGCGCTTCCGCGCCATCCCCCGGTCCCGGCACGGCCCCGCTTGCGCTGGGACCGGGGCGCCCCGGCCCGCCCGGCTCCCCCGTGCCGGCGCCGCGGCGCCTACACCGGGGTCTGCAGCCTCTGCCGTGCCTGCCGCCGCTCCAGCGCCGCCTCTGCCGTGCCTGCCGCCGCTCCAGCGCCGCCTCTGCCGTGCCTGCGGCCGCTCCAGCGCCGCCTCTGCCGTGCCTGCCGCCGCTCCAGCGCCGCCTCCCGCCAGCACCGCCCCTGCCCGCCGGGCCGGCAGCCAGCCCAGCCCCCAGCGGCTGCACGCCCCGGCCGCGCCGCCGCCTGCCCCCCCCCCCCCCCCCCCCCCGGCAGCCTCCCGCCGCCTCCACGCCGCTCCTCCCGCCGCCCCGGGATCATCTCCCGCTGACGCGGCCGCCCCGCCGCCGCCCGTGGTCGCCCTCTCGCTCCTGCCGCTGCCGCTCCATGGCGGCCCGAGCCGCGCCTTCCCCACCGCGGCCCCCCGCTTCAGAGCTCCCGTTCCCGCGGCTCCGCCGCCTCCTGCAACCACGGCCGTCCCGGCGTTCCCTGCCGCAGCCGCTGCCCCGTTCCCGTTCCCGCGGCTCCGCCGCCGCCCCCCCGCGCCGCGCCGCCCCCCCGCGCCGCGCCGCCCCCCCGCGCCGCGCCGCCCCCCCCGCGCCGCGCCGCCCCCCCGCGCCGCGCCGCCCCCCCGCGCCGCGCCGCCCCCCCGCGCCGCGCCGCCCCCCCGCGCCGCGCCGCCCCCCCGCGCCGCGCCGCCCCCCCGCGCCGCGCCGCCCCCCCCGCGCCGCGCCGCCCCAGTGACGGAACCCACGCATGCGCAGTTGCTACAACCCCCGCACCAGCGATATCACTCCGCGCCTCATTCTATCCCGCGGCTCCGCCGCCACCCCCCCCCCCCCCCCCCCCCCACTGCTTTCGCCGGCGTTTCGGTACAGCCCGGTCCCGGTTCCGAGCCGCTGCGTGCCGCTGTCCGGCCACAGCCGCCATCCCTGTGCCCTGTCACGCCGTTTCCGCCTCCACCGGGTCCATACACGGCACCACAGCAGGCGAAAACTGCAGCGCTTTGCACGTATCCTTCCGCGTCTGTCCCTCTGCCGGGCACCGAGAGATCCCTCCGCAGCGCGGGACTCTGCACACCCGATACCTGGTATCCCTCCGCGTTTTCGCCTCCACGCTCCTAGCACCCAGTGGGACTACTTTGTGTCACGATTCGTCTGCACAGCCACATCCATGCACACAAACCGTGCGACGAGGAGGAGGAGGAGGCTGGAATATGACAGCTGCTTTAATAAATACAGGACAGACAGAGAATTATTTTGCCCCTGCAAATGCCAGCCCTTTGATCCCAACACAACAG